TTACAAAATATAATTTAGTATTTTCGTTCTAACTGTGCTTCTTATACCGCAATAATTTCCGTTTGCATATTCTCTTCCTCACTCCTTCTCTTCATCAACATTAGCAACTATTCAGCAACATTCCATTATCAACATTCAATTATTACTGTTCTTCATTAATTGAAGAAGAACAGACTTTCATTACTGTTAAAATTATTTGTATTAGTAATTAGTTCGTAATAAATTGTTGATTTGTAGAGATTCTGAAGTGGGATTGTTTTGTGAGCTGTTAGTACAAGGGCATCTGACGCCTACAGGGGGGCAGTGGGTTACGAGAAGCAAATGGAAAGAGTACTGACGTCAGTAGTACATAACATGACAGTAGGACATAACATGACGTAAAAAGAATAGAAAAGTACATAACGGACATACGACGTTAGGAGCACCGGAAGGGCAAAGAATAGTCACATTTCTAAGCATGTGATCTCCTATATAACACCCTGGTCGTGTGAAAATCACAACAGGAATGACGAGTGCTTCGAGCGCGCCGCGACTGTTGTCCGTCCAACGGACATTATTCCATTTTTTCGTCGCTGGATAGAACAGGCGCAGTGTTATCCCGATGGCGCCTAGAAATACGGCAGTTAACACTTGACTCACCGTTCAGCGCAGACTACCCAAGGGGGAAAGCACGGAATCCTGGAATCCTGAATTCCCCTGGATTCCAAGGATTCCCTATGATTCTTTAGGATTCCAAGCATTCTCTAGGATTCCTTAGGATTCTCTTCGCTTCCTTAGAACTCCTCTAGATTGGGATTCCTTAGGATTCTCTAGGATTCCTTTGGATTCCATTCGATTCCATTGGATTCTTTTGGATTCCAGGATTCTGCGAGATTCTATGAGATTCCGTTGGATTCCATTGGATTCCGTGGGATTCCGTGCTTTCCCCCTTGAGACTACCTCAATGACTTGGATAATCTACTGCCGAGGCTAATGGACTTGAAATAAGAAAAAGAGTTCGAATCCGCAAAGATCATGCAGTTCAAGCTAGTGGCGGCAGTGTAAAGGCAGGCGGAGCTATTGTACAGAATCATATCGAAAAAGGAATGTCGAACAGTTTGGAAGTCAGCGGAGTAAACGTCAACGCCAGTGGAGTGAGAATAGGACATACAGATGTACAAGACACTGGTCTTGATGCATCTACATCATCGGGCATTTCAACAAAACCATCAGTGTCTCTCGTAAATATTGGATTTTCCGGTACACCTAAAGCTCCACAAGCAGGCCTCGGATTAAATTTCGCATTGTTCAATTTCGGTAATAACTTCGGCTTAGGATCAGGAGCATCAGTAGACGGGAGTGAAGATAGTGGTAGGGGTGGCCAAAGGTTACACCAACGCGATTATCAACCGAATAACGCTATTGAGTGGTATACATTAGACTCATTTTTATACAGTTTATTAAACAGAGGCCTACGTCAAAAAGATTTTGTTACAGCATACATATTTGGCTTCTTTCTTCAAGATTTATATCAACAATTAAAGTATGATCATGAAGTATTCAAATTAAACTGTTTAGAAAGAGAAGAACCACTGTTCACCGTCTATCGTGGACAGTGGATGTCAACGTATGAAATCAATTACCGTAAAGAACACACTGATCTGTGTCATATAAATAATAGTCTATTGTCAACCTCACTTGATAAGGCTGCAGCCTCATCATTTTTAGGTTCACCTGAAACTAAAGAAGGATTAGAACGTGTTCTATTTAAAATTGAAATCGATGTTCGCAAACGATCACGTCCTTATGCTGATATCTCACAACGAAGTCATTTCAAAGGAGAAGCTGAAGTATTATTTATGGTGGGTACACGATTTAAACAAAAAAACGCCGAATATGATGAAACTATGAAAGTTTGGATAATTACTTGGGAATTAATATCCGATAATTTCAAAAAGGACGATGAGTCATATGCAGGTGGAAGCAAAAGGAGAACATTAAAAAATTATTTTAATGAATTACCTACCGATTTGATTGGAGTATCTGTCGAAAATATTGAAGCAATTTTTTCATACTTCTTTAATCTATATCCATTAGAAAAAAACTGGATTTTAGCTATTCAATATCAATGTATTGCACATCGTCGATATAGATGATTACACTTCAGCATTGACAAATTATATTGAAGCCTATAAGGTATGGTCTCAATTTATGACTGATGAGGAATTAAATTGCTATATTAATATCGCCGATATCTGTGAATATATCGGTTCAATCAATAATTATCATATCAAAGATGAAACTAAAGCACAGTTTTTCTATGATCAAGCGATTATAATGTATAAGAGAGCATTTGAAAATGCAACAACAGATTATGAACGAATGCTTGCACAAAATAACTTAACTGGTTTGTATAAAACTCAAATGGCATGGAGAGAAAAAAAAGAAGAAAATGCACTTATGTCAATTAAATATAAAGAAGATTATCGTAATGGTATCAGATGAACGATATGGAGTTGTCGAACTGTGACACATTGAAAATAGAAAAATATATTTGCCCTGATCCAAAAACAGATTCCATAAGAATTTTGAAAACATCAGAAGATTCACAAGAAAATTCTGCATGTCCTCACGTATTTTTGGAAATTTTTGCAGCTCACTTTTCTAGAAAATTTCGCTATGCAAGAACCTGATAAATCTAAAAAAGCCTAACTTCTGAACCTATCAATCCAGTAGTTCCAAGGGTTCCCTTTAAAGTCAGTCGATATTCATCTGCAGACCGAGGTGAAAATATCAAACGATAAGAAACTTCCGCTGACTGGTTTTACTGCCGAGGCTAATGGACTTGAAATAAGAAAAAGAGTTCGAATCCGCAAAGATCATGCAGTTCAAGCTAGTGGCGGCAGTGTAAAGGCAGGCGGAGCTATTGTACAGAATCATATCGAAAAAGGA